ACAGTAAATAAGTGCTGCAATGCTGACATGTACAGTGAATAAGTGCTGCAATGCTGACATGTACAGTGAATAAGTGCTGCAATGCTGACATAAACAGTGAATAAGTGATGCAATGCTGACATGTACAGTGAGTAAGTAATGCAATGCTGATATAAACAGTGAATAAGTGATGCAATGCTGACATGTACAGTAAATAAGTGCTGCAGTGCTGAAATATACAGTGAATAAGTGATGCAATGCTGACATAAACAGTGAATAAGTGATGCAATGCTGACATGTACAGTGAATAAGTGATGCAATGCTGACATGTACAGTGAATAAGTGATGCAATGCTGACATGTACAGTAAGTGCTGCAGTGCTGATATGTACAGTAAATAAGTGCTGCAGTGCTTAAATATACAGTGAATAAGTGATGCAACGCTGACAAACAGTGAATAAGTGATGCAATGCTGACATGTACAGTGAATAAGTGATGCAATGCTGACATGTACAGTGAATAAGTGATGCAATGCTGACATGTACAGGAAATTGCTGCAGTGCTGATATGTACAGTAAATAAGTGCTGAAATATACAGTGAATAAGTGATGCAATGCTGGCATGTACAGTGAATAAGTGATGCAATGCTGGCATGTACAGTGAATAAGTGATGCAATGCTGACATAAACAGTGAATAAGTGATGCAATGCTGAAATGTACAGTGAATAAGTGATGCAATGCTGACATACAGTGAATAAGTGATGTAATTCTGACATAAACGGTGAATAAGTGATGCAATGCTGACATGTACAGTGAATAAGTGATGCAATGCTGGCATGTACAGTGAATAAGTGATGCAATGCTGACATATACAGTGAATAAGTGATGCAATAATGACATGTACAGTAAGTGATGCAATGCTTACATAAACAGTGAATAAGTGATGCAATGCTGACATGTACAGTGAATAAGTGATGCAATGCTGACATACAGTGAATAAGTGATGCAATGCTGACATACAGTGAATAAGTGATGCAATGCTGACATGTACAGTGAATACAGTAAGTGATGCAATGCTGACACAGTGAATAAGTGATGCAATGCTGACATACAGTGAATAAGTGATGCAATGCTGACATGTACAGTGAATAAGTGATGCAATGCTGACATACAGTGAATAAGTGATGCAATGCTTGCATGTACAGTGAATAAGTGATGCAATGCTGACATGTACAGTGAATAAGTGATGCAATAATGACATGTACAGTAAGTGATGCAATGCTTACATATACAGTAAATAAGTGATGTAATGCTGACATGTACAGTGAATAAGTGATGCAATGCTGACATACAGTGAATAAGTGATGCAATGCTTACATGTAGTGAATAAGTGATGCAATGCTGACATAAACAGTGAATAAGTGATGTAATGTTGACATGTACAGTGAGTAAGTGATGCAATGCTGACATAAACAGTGAATAAGTGATGCAATGCTGACATGTACAGTGAGTAAGTAATGCAATGCTGACATAAACAGTGAATAAGTGGTGCAATGCTGACATGTACAGTGAATAAGTGATGCAATGCTGGCATGTACAGTGAATAAGTGATGCAATGCTGACATACACTGAATAAGTGATGCAATGCTGACATGTACAGTGAATAAGTGATGCAATAATGACATGTGCAGTAAGTGATGCAATGCTTACATAAACAGTGAATAAGTGATGTAATGCTGACATGTACAGTGGATATGTGATGCAATGCTGACATGTACAGTGGATATGTGATGCAATGCTGACATGTACAGTGGATATGTGATGCAATGCTGACATACCTGTACATGATACAGTGAATAAGTGATGCAGTGCAGGATGTGAACTGTAATGCTGGCATAGCTGGAGTAGGCTTGGTGTGATAAATTTTCTCTAACACTGATAAAATTAAGGCACACCACTGCAGTAAACATGTTGCAATCTGGTCTAGCTGGCAAGTCTGTATGCAAGCATGATGCTCTCATTGTTTGTAAAACCAAATGTGTCCATATGATCACACTAGTATATACTCCATTTAAGAAACATTTTTACAATCTGCCTGTTAACCCTTTGAGTGCCAAATTGCTTCTAGTTTTTAATCAAAATAGTTGACTACAAATGAAAGTTCTTGTGGATGGTGCTTGAAGTTGACTATGACAATAGTGATTTTTTTTAAATGATTTTTTGCCCGGCGACATTTCTGGACATTGAATGTCACTGTTGTCTCTCCTGACTTTTTTTTGTATGTGCAAGTGCTAGTGCTGACATATAGTGCATTTTTGCCACAGAAGTCATATTCAAGTTTGGGACTACATGACAGGGCTGTGTGTCCATGTCTCTATCAAATGGCAATTTAATGCGCTATCCTGGCATCAACTAGGCTCGGACCTCAATCAAGGTTCCCCTAAAGTTGCATTCATCAGTGAATGAATCTCTGCCAGCGTAATTGGCCTACCCATTGAGTCTGTGGCACACTCACCCAGGGTAAGGTAGGATTTGAACTTGGGTCTACTGATCATGAGTCTGATGCAACAACCACTATGCTACCAGTGACCGACTAGTTATTGCCATGGGAAAAAAAACTCTAATTTTTAGATCATTTTCAGAATGGTATTAAAAATATATAAAATCTTCATAAGCCTATTATATCATGGATTGAGTTTAAAACATCTGAAATAAAATTCTGTAAAAAATCTTTGAGAAAGTACTACCATTACAATATATTACCGTATAATATTACAAATGCATATGACCATGCAGATTTGAATCCATGTACAATAGAAAAGTTGAATTGAAAATCAGCCACTATATGCGGAAGTAATAGAAAGTATGTGAGAAATCCGAGAAAGCATTTCTTTTGAAAAAGAATTTGTAAGCAACTTTGTATGCAGATCACTGAATTCTATTGGGAATAGGGAGGAATGGTCATTCGAGAAAGATGTATGAAACGCTGCACAGCCATCATGGCTTCTAAATAGGTCAGTTTTCAGACACAAGAATTAATTATTAGGGCATGTCAAGACTTGGGTGTTGAGATAAGATACAACTGCTCTACAATGATTGTCTAGTGGGTTATCAAGCGTCGCCGTCTACAGTTCCCTTTATATTTTACACGTTTTCAGTTGTGCAGTCACCAAACCATGAAAGAATCACTCCAGTTAGATCACCGAGGTCAAAC